ATAGCTGGACCACTTGTAGCTATGGTTGAGAGCAGTTGTGGCTGCATGTAGTCCAGATTGCTTGTAGCTCTGTCTGGGCCTGGGGGCCTGTAAGCTCTGGCTGAGCTGAGGCCTGTAACCCCTGGCCTATAAGGCCACCAATGATTCTTAAAGAATTCTTGCCACGTGGGCGCCAATTGTAGATGAATTTCTAAACAGTGTTATTAAATAAGAAACACAGAGCCACATACAGAGGTGCAAGCCATAGAGATCAGAGCAATAACCGCCAATTAATCTTAGCTTAAAATATCGCTGTAGCTTCCCAGGAGAACCTCTTTCTGTCTAATCTGTGCCCTTATTGTCTTGCTATTCTGCCTTCTCATTGGCTCTAAGCCCAGCCACATCACTTCCTCATCACTGCCTGTCTATACAGACCTCCAGGTCTCTATGGTTGGTATTGAGATTAAAGGCATGTGTCACCACATTTGGCTATGTCCTTGAACACACAGAGACTTTGCCTGCCCTGTGATTGGATTAAGGGCATGTGCTACCACCACCTGACTTCTGCTTATGGCTCACTATAATCTCTAATCTCCAGGCAAACTTTATTTATTAACATACAAATAAAACATCACATATCAACACAAATAAAATATCACCACAGTGGTTATCATGTTTGTCTAAACCATTTTCTATCATAACTTGTATTATCAACCTAAAAATATCTTTTTAGACCTAAAAACATTTTCTTAGCTAAACAACTTAATCTTTTATGTCTCTCACTCACTCTTACATACTTTACATCTCTTTTCGTGAGTTTCTATTCTGAATTTGGTAATAAGGAAAGCTGTAACTATTAGCCTTCAGCTCATCAAAGATCTGAGAAGGATGTAATACTGTTTGGGTGAACAGGAAGTGCAGAGCAAATAACTTCTAAAACTATAGAAATGACAGAAACAGCTGGCTGCCTGGACAGTCACCCAAGGTTCCTCTGCAACATTGGGGCATTCATCTTCAGGCTACAGGCCTATAATATCTGACAGACTTTTCTGTGAAGTAGGAATTTTGAAGGACTCTCCCACCTTGTCTTGGCAAAGGCTGATAGTTGCTTTCTTTTGTGTCCTGCTTGTCCAATTTGGATAGCATTCTATCATCAGTTGAGGCAAGGGCAGTTTCTTTGCCCAGTGACTAACTTTGCCACAATGAAAGCAAATTTCCTATGGAGTTTCTGCAATGTCTATAATTCTTTTTTGCAATAAATTGGTGTTGCCAGAAGCAGACATATCTTACTGTCATGAAAAGCCTTAGGTATTAAAATGCCTTAAATGCCATATTCTGTAGATCTCTGAAGTGTTTGAAGACCAGAATATAAAATATATCTAAAATAGATATATGTTTGACCTTGAAAACATACCTAAAATGACTATAAGTTTGATTATTATAGATGATTAATTACTAACCTGTATTTCTTAATTATCCTAAATAGTTTGTAATAATAATTTTCAAGGACTGGACATTTACATTATATTGTTAAATGAACTGCCTAGGCACAATACCTTAAACAAGAGTAGAAACACATATACAGTATAACAAAAATAACCTTAATTTGTATCAATATAGAAAAATCCATACCAATGTAAAACATTTGAGATTAATAGTTACCTTTTAGTTTAAAGGAGATTCAATAATCTACCCTTTTATCCTAAAATCCCTGTCTTCCCCTTGTTCTTTTCAGAAAGAGATCTTTGAGTCTAACCTCGCTTGCTTAGTTTCCTCCCTTAGCCTGACCAATAACAATTTGCAACCAACTCCCCCTAAATGGTAACAAAAATTCATAACCCACTGAATGACCAAAAACCACCCACCTCACCTCTTGGGAATGTGGGCATTGTGTTCTTAAAATTATTTCCTGCTCTCTGGGGGCAATGGCATCTTTAGGGGACCCTGAGAAAACAGATGTAATCTGTCCCACAAGCAATTCCCAAATACCTAGCAGCTGCTTCCCAAATAATTGATTCAGAGGCTTAATATTACTTATAAATGCTCAGCCAGTAGCTTAGGCTTATTACTAACTAGCTCTTACACTTAAATTAATCCATAATTCTTATCTATATTTAGCCACATGGCTTAGTACCTTTTCTCAGTATTACATTTTCATCTTACTTTCTCTCTGTCTGGCTGACTCCTTGACTCTACCCTTCCTCTTCCCAGAATTCTCCCAGTCTGACTTTCCTACCTAACTTCCTGCCCAGCTACTAGCCTGTCAGCTTTATATTAACCACTGAGAGTAATATATATTCATAGTGTAGAATTGAGATAATGGTCAAGTTCTGGGAAAACTAGTTGTTGTCCAGTCTTGGTGTGATGGGAAAGTACAGGGCTTATCTGAAGTCCTAGCCTAGCTAAGATGGCTGGACCATCTTAGCTAACTGCTTTGAAGTTCTCATTAGCAGTTTGTAATCCAAAGCTGACCTTTGGGTTGTGTTTGTTAGGTTTAGTGGCATTACCATAATCCAGGTGGAATCATCATTGTGGGGCCCCACTATCTTCTTAGAGACCTCAAAGTTCACTGCCAGGAATGGTCATGGGTCACTGTAGAAAATTTAAACATTTTAAATGTCATATGTAGCAGATCTCAAAGAGGATAAATGACCACAATTTGTTAAGTACATCTGGGGTACATAAACTTAATTCCAAGTTATCTGCTTCAGACTCAAGCCTGAAACCATATACAGAAAGCTAGATGGAGCCTATTTCTAGAATTAATTAGTGATTTATATGACTACTAATATCATGACAGAAAGTTTATGTATATGCATATATATAATATAAATTTTGAGACATTAATACCTTAAGAAAAGTTTTACAGAGTCAAAATAAAACCAAAGGATTATGAGATTAGTGGCAATAGAATATTCCCTTAAGTTTGGTTTTTTTTCTGTTCCATATCAGGTGGCTCTTCTGACATGAGACAGAGGTTTTGGATCCTCCTTTAACAAGCATGCTTGGGTTTAGAGAAGAAGAGAGCCACACTCCAACTCCAAAGGCAGCTTTAATTTTTAATTGAATTGGGACTACAAAAAGATCATTTGCCTTATATGTCTGTAGATAATAACAGAAACCAACATTTGGGAAGATTTATGAAATTTTACCCTGTTGGAAATGCGTTTTACTATTAGGCCAATTACTCTTTTTCTTTGGACATTTTCTCTGGATGATTCGTACTTTTTCTTCAGATGTCTCATTTGTCCAGTAGTATCTGGATTTCTTAGTTGGATCCTTTTATTCTCATGGAAAGACAAAAACAAAACCCTGCCCCAAGTCTAACTTTGGGGAGTTCCTTTTTTGGCAGCTTATATCTGATCAAATGAAAGGCATTTGTTAGTCTTATACATTAGTTTAGATTGAATAGCCATGCTATTTGATGAACTGTTGCTGTTCCTAATCAAGAGACTTATTTTCAAAAAAAAAAAAAAAAAGCTTTTTGGAATGTTGCCCAGGAAACTGTGTCTTATCATGAGATACCCCTTAAAGATCTCAGGATTTCTTGAGCTGGTCTGGGTCCTTTTTGGACTACCCTTGTAGATGTAACCAACCGTCTTATTAAATAAGAAACACAGAAACAATGTAAAAGAGAAAGCTGAGAGGTCAGAGCTCAGAGCTAAAATCTCACCCTTCCTCCTGCTGTCCCAGCTTCCCAAAAGAGAGCTACTTCCTGTGTGTAAATCGATTTTCCAGTCATTCTGCCTTCTCATTGGTTGTAAACCCAAACACGTGACTGCCTCGTCACTGTCTGAATGTACAGCCCCCTAGGTCTTAAAGGCATATGTCTCCAATGCTGGCTGTATCCCTGAACACACAGAGATCTATGGGATTAAAGGCGTGTGCCACCACCGCCACACTCTGTCTATGGCTCTAATAGCTCTGACCCCCGGGCAACTTTATTTATTAACATACAATCAAAATCACATTTCAGTACAATTAGAATACCACCACATACCCTGGTCTAATTTCATATCCACTGATAAGATAAAAGGCCTTGGCAAAAAACCTTTTAGCTTGCAGTTCAAGGTTATGCCCCACTATTATAAGGAAGTCAAGGCTGTAGGAACTTGAAGCAGCTTATCATATCACATCTAGTCAAGATCAAAGAAGAATGAATGCATGCTCACTTGATCTCTGCTCTCATCTACAGTTCAGAACTCCCTGACTAGAGAACCCAGACCATGGGCTATGTAGTTCCAAATCAACTAACTGAATTAGGACAATCCCCTCCACATATACAACCACAGATCAACATAGTGTAGACAGTCAGTGAGATTCTCTTCCCAGGTAATTCTAGGATGTGTCAAATTGACAATTAGAGTTAATCACATTGTTGCTACTTCTTCATTCGCAGTAGATGTCAGCCATGAATGTTTGAATAAATGAGCAGCTTTGTCTCTGAGAATTCAGAATTGAAGTGTGATTTTTTTCACACAGGTTTCTAACTCTCTGGGAAGAGTCCCACTATGATGTCCCTCCTTCCCACAAGGATTTGGTTTGCATTTATTCATCTGTAAGTAATCAAGAATGCTCAGGTATTTGCTGAGGTAGACTCAAAGGTGAATAACCTCCAGATTCTTCCTGAAAGAGTTCAACAGTTTACAGTTCACAGCCTAATTAGGAGCAATGACAGCTACATGCATGAGCAAGTACAATGCCTTAGGAAAAATACTTTCCTGTGAAACTCTGAGGCTGGGTTAGCACAGTGCTTTGGCACATGGACTTTGGGACAAGGAAATCCAGGGTTCAAATCTCAGGTAAGTCCATTACTAGTTATTTGAGAACAATCAGTTACAAACTCAGAAATGATTTAATTTTTCCACTTATAAAATAGATAAAATAGTATGTATTTTAGTTATAAAGTTTAAATTATTAAACATATATAAAGCCATAATAAGCATTAGGCACTCAATATGCTGTACACACAATATAAATTTATGTTTAAACTTGTTTTTAATTTAATTCTGTGCACGACTTTGGCAATGCTAACATTTATAAAGTAACATATGTAGTGTTAAGGGCTTGAGTGTTAAAGGCTTGGGATTCTTCTGAGGAAAATAATACCTTCACATCTCTTATCAGTGTAGACAACACATGCAAGAGTCAAGTCAAAAACTATACATTCTGTGTGAGCACATGGGTCCTGATTTTCCTCACACAACTTTACTTCTGCATGCTTTCAATCCACTTCTCTCCTTTAAAATAATTCTTTGACCTAGGAAGTTTAGAAAACGAATTTTAGTAAGTTCTAATGTTTAACGAGTATGTCCAGAAGTACATTTTCACAGAAAGAGATAATTAACTAGCTTTCATTTTCACATGACTGTCTTGTGACAAGTGGAATCTCTGAAAACAAACAAACAACAACCTCCCCCGCCAAGAAACCACCAAATAACAAACTCATATGCAGGTTAAACTATTATGTACTTAGCTATATTTCTTTTTGAGCAGCATTCCTCTCAGTCAAAACCAAAACTGTTATGACTAGTACAATGTCTTCCTAATGTCTGTTCCTGACTTTGCTTGAATATGCATTAGCAAAATGGGTTTGTCAGAACCTGCTTCTAAGGGGAGTTCAGCCTTCCCCAGGTACATAAGATCCAAAAAGATGTATTTAACCAGCTCAAAGGTTAAACATATAAATTGTCAGTTCATATCTTATGATGGGAGAACATCGTGGGGGCCAGAGGGGTCAAGGACATCAAGTGAGCACAGCCCACAGAATCAACTCACTGGGCCCATAGGGGCTCACAGAGACTGGCCTTAGTCTGACCTAGGTCCTCTGTATATGTTATGATTGCGTAGCTTGGCATTTTATGGGACTTCTAACAGTGGGAGTTGGGGGTGTCTCTGAGTCTTTTGCCTGCTCTTCAGACCCTTTTCTTCCTACTGTGTTGCTGCATACAGCCTTGATGTGAGGGTTTGTGCCTAGTGTTAGTGTAACTTGATGTGCTGTGTTTGGTTGCTATCCCTGGGAGACCTGCTCTTCTCTGAAGGGAAAGGAGGAGGAGTGGATCTGAGGGAGAGGAGAGTTAGAGGGGAGAACTGGGAGGAGTAGAGGGAGGGGAAACTGTGTTCAGGATGTAATGTATGAGAGAAGAATAAATGAAAAAATAAAATTGAATTAGAATTATAAAGAGAAATAATGAGAGTAGTACAACACCTTTAAAAATACTTGATGTTTAACGGGCTATATTCTAGCAAAACAAAAGTATGCCCTTCACATCAATAAAATATTATCAAGTTGTGGGGATCAAATAAGATAGATGTCACATTTTGAGAGGGTGAAAGGGCAAGCAAGAGAACAGAACTCAGATAGGTGACATAGTTCTCTGTTTGTGGGTGCTCATTTCTATAGTGGAGACAAGAGAAGAGACAGCCTTTGATCTCTGTGTGTTAAACAATAGATGAGAAGTCACTGTCACAGAATAGGTACCCACAAAACACTGCCTTTCATTCTTGTATCACATTAAGACTCTAATTGATGAAAAGATATATATATATATCTGACTTGTATTTTTCAGTTAGCATTTTCTTCCTATCAATGATGGATTGTTTATTAGAAGTCACAAAATGACAAAGACAATCCTTCATTTAAAAACTTCCTAAAATTTCAATTTTTTAATCCAATATCCCTCAATTATTTTCAATCAAAATTTCAAAATGGATTCAGATAAAGATAGTAGAAAGCAGGCCATGCACCCCTAGAGGAAACCCACTATGATTATTCTGCTAACTGAAGGTAATATAAAATCAACTCCTAATGACTTATTGTTAAACCCATCAGTTAGTGTGCCTCTTAGCTCTCATCAGAAAAGCTTCCTTTGCAGAAGATAGTGCTGAGCACAGAGACCCACAACTGGCCAACGTGCAGAGAATAAGAGACTGTAAAGTTCTCAACCCTAAATAGGACATCTATATTGCACCCCTCCTTCCAAGGCTCAAGGATCATTGTAGAAGAGGGAACAAAAAGATTATAAAAGCCAGATATGATGGATCATCACAACAAAACAGTGTTTTACGGACACAACAGAATAGTGGCACATATAACTCACAGTGGTTTTGATAGCATGCATAAGACTTACACAAGCTCAAAACAGACCAAATACTTGCATGGAGAGGGGAGGTGGGTATGAAGTCTGATTCCTACCTAAGGAACACTTAGTAATTGCTCCTCAAGGAGAGTTGGTTTTCTTTAATTATGTAGCTTTTGGTAGCTTAACCAAACTCCAGTGAATGGTTACATTCCCAAGAGTATATGGGCAGCACAGAGTGGATTCAATGGGTTAAAAAAAATTGAAGACACAAATTGGGGTATATAGAGAAGTGGGGGATAGATTTGAGAGGACTTGGGGAAAAGAAGTGACTATTATAAAAATACGACATATGAAAGTCTCAAAGAATTAATAAAAACATGTTTTTTAAAAAATGGCAGAAAGTGATGTCTTTTATGAGAAAACTATCAATCATTTTTTCTTTCTAAATGAATAATACTTTATATCAACACTCTGAAAACATAGAGGACAAGCCTGTGAGTTTTGTCATTGTCATTTAGATGGGCTTCCAAGGAAGCAGTATTAATGCCAGTGACAATGGGAAGAAGAGAAAGGGGGAGATCTGGGAGCAAAGTGTCCTCACATACATCTTACACTGTCAGAGCAGAAACAGTTGCTTTCAGAAATGTATCCACGGAAGGAGGATGAAGAGGAAAAGTATGAAAAGGAAGAGCAACCTTACAAGGAGAAGGGAGTAAGGATTCTGACCTCCTGTTACTTAAGGATGTGATCTCTCGGATTTCTGTGAGCCCATTATCAACAGTGGTCCCAACAATGGTTCCATGTGGGTAGGAAGTTAAATATTACCTTGCTAGAGCTGCAGTGTAGCACTACTCAGATATCTTCGATGATTTATCCCAGCTTTGCTAACGTAACTTGGCATGTGAGAAACTACTCTCTCAGCAGCTGTAAATTTTCTAAAAGCTTTGTTTCATTTTGGGGAGAAAATGAAGTGTCCATTCCAACAGCAATAAGAAAGAATAAATCCCGTTATAAGTATACATTACTTGCTGTGAGCTTATGATACAGTTTTATGTAGCCTGTTTCTCCTTTTCCTGTGAGCTGATACTGAATTGCTGTGGTGGGATATTAAGAGGAGGGTTGGAGCTACCGAAAGAAGGGCAAAAAGGATCACACATCACAGATAATTCACTCTCTTAAGTTAATCCATATTTGTGCGCCATGGCTAATGTTCATTGATGCTCAGCAAATGGTTAGACTGCATCTGTATTGACAATTCTATTCTCAAGCTAATGGTTTATAAGGGTGGTTAGCTTTGTCCTTCGACTCGTGGAGGCCCAGGGCAAAGTTTTATTTCCAAACATGTACTTCCTGCTTACTTCACGATTATCATTCTGGATATATCCAGAGCCAGCAGCAGTAGTTTTAAATGGCTGTTTGAAGTGCATATAAATGATGTGGCCTTATTTATGACTGAAGCCTTTGCTAAAATGATGTTTTCTACTGCTGCTTACATTTCTCATCTCTGTCTGGTAAGCAATAGTAGGAGAATTTTGCTCTAATACCTGGCATGATGAGTTTTCATACTGCATCTCTTTTATTTATTCTTTATTTTTCTTTCACATACTTTAATGTGGATTCCTGAAGATTATTTCCCCCTGTTCTTGTTGCCAATGATACAGGGAACCACAAAGGTTATTTTATGTTAAAATATTTTTCACTGCACTAGAAACGAAAATATTTTGTGAGTAAGGCGTTTTCCATGAGTAAATATATTATTTACTTGTTTTATTGTAACAAAACATACTGATGAAAGCAAGCTAAGGAAGGAAAGGGTTTATTTTGGCTTACAGGTTCTGGGTAAAGTTCATCATTTAATCATGATGGGAAGTTACAGTAGGAGTTGGTTTAAGCAGCTGGTGGTCACGAAGCAGAGGGAAGTAGTGTGTTTCTTAAATTGTGCACCTCCTTGGCATGGAGACTCCATTTTCTTGTTCTAATGCAAAACAGAACAAAAAGCAACAATACAAATACAAAAACATATATTTATAGTATGCTTCACAGTAATGAAAATTGGTTGTAGATTAAATAACTTCCAATGCAGCTATTGGTTGGAATACTGAATGACCATAAAAGAGTTTGAGGTATTTCCATGCTTATTGTCATACAGTATATTCTGATCATGATCTCCCCTCTTCAGCTCCTCCCAGATCCTTCCCACCTCTCCACCCACCCAATTCCATGACCTTTCTTTCTCTATGTCTAGTTAACTTATGACACATGATATTCATAGTTACTGAAAGATCTACAAATGAAGGCTGGAAAGGGAGCTAGGCCAGTAATCTCAGCTACTAGATAGACTAAAGCAGGAGAATACAAATTTAAAGTCTGATACACTGTAACTTCAAGGCCAACATGGGGAAATTAGTGGCCTAGTGATCATGTCTTCAAAGAAAATGAACAAAGAGAGCTAGGGCTATAACTCCATGGTAGAGCATTTTCCTATCCTGAGTAAGGCTCTTGGTTGAATCTTCAGCTTCTTTTGAGAGAAAAAGAAAGTATCAAGTTATATTATAATTTGTAGTTTTGGTATAATGTCTCTTTCTTGGTTTTGATTTAAGTCCTGAGAGTCATTTCTCCTCCCTGTTCTATACAGGAAACACAGGGCTTTGTTGAAATTCTTATCACTAAGATTCAGGACTGTCTGATGCCAACAGGGCTGCCTGTGGCTGTAACATAGGGGTGGAAGTGTGTAGATAGTTAACTTCAGGACAAAACCTTTCAGGTCTGAGAATAGCACACATGCATGTATTGTTCCATCACCACCAAAGCTCAAAGTTTGTTCATCTAGTAATTTGTAGCTTCTTTTTTAAGTCATTAGAAAGGTTTTTAAACTACCCCTTTTTACTCAGGACTCATTTTCCTACTGGTTCTTACATGTGAAAAGCCAAACATTTTCTATTTTAGAAGTTTGTTTCTGGAGCAAGTACATAGAGCTCCTTTTCCAACTCCAGTTTGAAACATTTTTTTTTCCCAAAAAGATTTTTTTTCTTTTTAGAAGAATTTTGTCTGCTAGACTAAACTGTTTATCAGGCAAGCAAAAGAACAAGGAAATTGCTCCCATTAAGTTTCAGAAGAATCAAAGTTCTAGTAAGCCTCTGAAGTTTAGCTTAAAACTGTACATAGTAGCCTTTTCTACTCAAATACATGGAGCCTCCAAAGCAGAAATACTGTGTAAATACATATGAGCAAGTGGATTTATGGTTCAGAATTTAAGTGCTATTGTGTTTTGGAGAGCCATGGTATGAATTTATGTTTAGATGTTATTGTGAGCTACTGATAAAGTTTGGAGTATGTGCAGCAAATTTTCTTTTAATATATGCTTAAGTAGGTTCCTTCAGGCAAATACATTTATACATATACATACATACATACATACATATACATATATTTACACACATGTGTTGGTAGGCTTTCCTTATTAATTTTTTCTATCATATATATATTACATATAAAATATCTTAAATAATATAGACAGGTGTAGCTTCTTAGATTAGCTTCTGTATCACCAGCTAACCTGTCAACATCGCCTATAAGATGGCTACCATTTTAGCATGAAGTTGCCTACATCTATACTGAGATACACTTATGGGCTGTGCTGTCAAAACACTCATGTAAACACTTATCACTTTAGAATATATCTTTGAGCTTTCTGACTGGTTAATCACAAAGGTATCATTCCAGTTATTCACCAAAAATCTTCAAAGGTTTTATACAGGGTTATCAAATACTTAGAACTAAAGGAACTAAAATGAAAAGAATAATTATTGGATGCATCAGAGAAATTTTATACCACAGAATGGCAATAATAGGAAATCACATTAATTTGTTCCTAGTGTTAAGAATGAATGATAAAAAGTTATAGAATTTGGTTAGAAATAAAAGTAGTGAATTATTTGTTTACCCCTGATATTGTCTCATGTTTTATTGATAGTAAAACACAATCAACATTTTGCTTAAAAGTAGTGTTTAATTTTATTTTTCTTAGTATGATTCTTTGTTTTGACCAAGAAGGAAAAAAAAAAGTCTTCAGAGTTAAGAAGAAAAAGGAACTAGAGTTAGATTGTCACTCTCAGTCATAAATAGGAGAGAGTGTATGGATCAGACACTGTCAACCAGAGCCCGTTACTACTTGAGAGAATATTAGCTGACAGAAAGCAAGCTAATACAACTGATGGAAGAGAGGATTGAGAGAGCCACAGGCTGTCTTTGGATCTTCCTGCAACTCCTGGCTATGTATACGAGAGTTTCTTCCACTGAGGACTCACAACTATCCTCCACCCCACTCCTGATCTTTTATAGTTCTTTCTTCCAGTACTCCATGATCTCCTTGGAACTCTCCAACATATAATCTGCTAAATGGTTGTGAACTAACATCAGAAAATGTCTAAGCATCAAGTATATGCAGGGTACTAAGTGCATGAAAAGTTCCATAAAACCTGGGCTTCCTCCCAAGTATCACGTGAAATGACCAAGCATTCCCAGTCATTTCTCCAATAGAAGGGAGTTCTGTATACACTGAACAGGTAACATTAGGTGAGCTTTTTTAGAGAAAGGACTTGAGATAGCACTTGAATCACACCATACAGAATACAGATGCCAATTTTATGTAGTATCTTTGTGAATCTGAATTTAAAAATCAAGGAGATAATTAATGCTTATTTCTGTACCATGCAGTGCATGGAAAATAACAATACTTGGGCAGTAATAGGTGTCACACATCAAAAATACTTTGTATCCCTCAATTTGATCCTTATCTTCTTTAGTTGATGCTTTTACACAGAAATACTTCTTTTCCATTCTGTTTAAGAACAGTATGCCCTCAAATACATAAGTTGTTTATCCTGATTTCTAAGAATAGCAACACTTCCACCCACACCTAACTGAAAGGTAATTTAAAGGCTATTAGGTATACTTTAGAATCTCAAGGTAGCAATAAACACTTTCATTTTCAGTTTGGTCGCAACTGGGAGATAAAATGTATATGCATAAATCATTTGAGGAAACTTGCCTTTTTATTATTTAAATAGAATCTTAAAAATTTGGAATTTGACAATTGTAGACATTAACTTAGGTTATTTTCCTTAAACTAACTCCATAAATATATTGAAAATAATAGCTCTTCCGATGAAGAACATTATTCTGTCCATTAGATATAGCAATAAGGACCTGCGGTCATTACCAAAGGCAACCACAAGCACCCCCTTTTTTAACTGCAGTGTCTAGTCTAATGAAATTTATTCAATGCCAGAATGGTGAAGAGTCCTACCAGATAGGAATCTCTGCTCTTTCATTCTTTTGACTTGAAGATCATTATTCTAGTAAGCCTCTTGGTAAAACTTGTACAAAAAACAAACAAACAAAAAACATGAGAGCAATAAAGTTACTCTTTAGAAACTAATTACTTGAACTTTGATAACTTTCATCATTTTCTAAGAGGAAATAAAGTGAATGTGAATTTGCTTGCCTTCTTAAGGTCTTGTTAATTTAAATAACAAGTGCAGATCTTCATGAATGAAGCCCTTAGGATATTTCAGTTCTGTATCATACTATTGTCATCTGCTGTTTATTTAAAAGTAACAAGAAAAAAAATATAAATTTCAGCTACTTGGGTTTTGTTTTTACTTACTTCATTTTAATTTTTCTTGTTTTAGATTCGGGCTTAATTTAGTACCTACAGTGAATATTGTAGTTTGCTGTTGAGACTTCTCATCCAAGAATGAGGCATGGAAATTATTTGATGACTTTCAGCCTAGTCCTTCCCCAGGAAACACCTTGAGCCAAGAGAGTCATCTTGTCTACAGCCACACCCTTCTGGTGTCAACAGGTTATCCAGGTAGGGGCAAAACCATCTAATCCCATTGTTCAAGAAAGGGGCAGCTTTCAACTTCAAAGTACTTTCTCACAACTCTCTTAATTTAACTCTTCCCTCTGCCCAAATCTATTACCTATACCCTCCCAAAAATTTTTCTAATAAGATTTTTATTTCTGAGACAGGGTTTCTCTGTGTAGCTTTGCGCCTTTCCTGGAACTCACTTTGTAGATCAGGCTGGCCTCGAACTCACAGAGATCCGCCTGCCTCTGCCCCCTGAGTGCTGGAATTAAAGGAATGCGCCACCACCGCCTGGCCTTAACAAGATTTTTGTATGCAAATATTTACTTCTTGGGAAGCATTAATGGATAAGTTTGATAACCAGTCACCTTTGACTCCTTAGATGAGCATTTCGAGGAAAAAATATATGTTACAGGGCAGAATGATCACAAAAATCTTTTTTTTTCAATGAGAACATGTAGCATGTATATATATATTACTTTCCCACACTATCCTGCTGAGCAGACACTGCTCCCTTAGATCTTTGTTTATTCCCCTGAGAAGAATGCTAGGAATGCTTCCACCTGCCCAAGGAATGCTTCAGGCAAAATATTTCCTTTCTCCGGCTTGGCACATTCAAGGACATTGCACAAACAGCCTTCATATGGCAATGAGACCTTCTGCCCCCTGAGTACATCTGGTGAATGTGATGAGAATGACTTCATCTGCTTATCATTGCTTCCCTGTCCCTGCTCTGAACTCTGAGCTATCTTGTAATAAAAGCTTCAGAGAAGTCCAGTGAAAGTTCTTAATCTGTGTCATTTAGAGTTCCCTGGTAAAGGTTCTTGATCTGTATCACCTAGCATCCCGTTTCTGCTGAATCTGGAATTTGACTTTAATTCCTTGGCACAGGTCACTGGCTGGTCACAATAAGAACATTATAGATAGATAATGCAAAGCCTCCCATGAACTGATGGATGTACCACAGGCAAGAGTTTTGAAAGGATGGGAAGTAGGTGCTTACTGATCATCAAAGATGCACAGACTTATTTGTCACCTCTGTGGAGACTGACTTGCATATTCTTTCCCAGTTGCATGGGTCGGGTGTTTTTCCAAGATTGTGGAAGAACAACTACTTACAAAAGTTCAGCTGTTAAAAATCAGTAGAAACACATGTCTTTCTTCACTGAGAGTGTCAGGGTCCACAAACCAAGATGAATGACTAATTTGTAAATGATGATGATATCCATAATTCATGCAGCAAAGGAGGCATCAGAGCAACCATAATGATCCTAAAAGACTGCCCATAAGAAGGAAGTACAAGTTGGTGGCATCATAAGGAAGCGTGTAGGGATACGTCATGTCAACAAGTGGTAAAAGAAAATACCACAGAAGAAACAAAACGGGAACCACAAGCCACAAAAAGATGGAGTCTATTCTGCATTTCTTTCTCCATGGCCTGTGTTTTAGTGAGCTGGCTCAGTTTGAAAATGACCACTGTGACTTACAGCTATAGCGGACTACTTTGTAGCACACTGACAATTCCTCCAAGAAAAACTAAAACTACAGAAAGTTCATTACAATTACACAGTCTTTGTTTGAGGACATCAGATAGATGCAGAGTGGGAAATACTTGAGGACCAGGCTGATGAAAAGAAGGAAAAGAAAATGAATGAGTGTTATTGCCCAGCACTTTTCCCCCCTTAAAGCATTTGTCAGCATCCAGACATTTAATATTCTTACTAGGAGTTGTCTGTTTTAGGAGGCATGGCTCAGAAAAATACTATTTGAGATGACCAGGGAGGAGAGATCTAATGATGAATCCAGGATCTCAGTTGCGATTCCTCATGGCCTGTCCCTTAGAGGAAAACTAGACACACATTTGCTCACAGAGAAAGCCTCAGGTTCAAACCAGCTCAATATTAATTTCACAGAATTTTTGTGATTCTAACTGCTTATCAAAAGCAAAATTTCTAGAGGTAGGTGGCATACACCTTTAATCCCAGTACTCAGGAGGCAGAGGTGGATCTCTGTGAGTTCGACGCCAGCTTGGTCCACAGAGTGAGTTTCAGGACAGTCAGGACTGTTTCACAGAGAAACTGTCTAAAAATAAAGAAATAAAGAAATAAAGAAATAAAGAAAGAAATAAAATAAAGAAATAAATGAATATTTTTTAAAAAAGCAAAATTGCTCTAGAATTCTTCAATTACAAACTTGTTGGACCACAGGAAACAAGGGCAGAAAAAATTATAAGAAGAGAAAAAATGCTAAAAGTGTTTTTAGACATCCCAGGTACTGGATTTATTATGTACTCACCTTCCATATGTGATTTTGTGCATTCCTGGATTCCTTGTGTCTTAGGGGACTATGTGTTTCATTGAAGATAAAAGCTCAGTTATTTTGTAACCCAAGGTATGAGTTATGGATGAAGAGAACTATTGCCACCTCCTTTAGTCATTTGATAAATCTTTTTTTAATCATAAATTGTTCTATTTTTTAAACCTTAATTTCTATTTATTCATTGACAACGTGACTATTTCGAAACATGACATCAATAGGCTCTGTCCTTGGACCTCAGACTTCTGTAACCACGGGTTTTGACCATGTTTACAGCACAGGCAGGAATTCTCTCCTGTAGAGTACACCTTACCCCCACACATAACCATGCCCCTACCACACTAGTAGGACATTTTGCCTGGCCGGTTGATATTGTAGCAGGCAGGGTCCAGCACTAGACAGTAGTGCTCTGAAGAAAATAACTATTTGCATAATACAGAAAGGCTGTCAGACTAAGTAAGAGATTTACATATAATAGCCACTCTCTAAGACTTCCTGTATTTCACACCATCCTCTTGTTTTAGAACACACAAAATGTTAAAACATACGATGTACTTTCATAACCAGTCCCAAGGTCACCAGGTCAGGGCAGAAGTACCAGGAATACAGATGACCTAGTTGGTCATGCTTAGATGACTTCCTCGGCTTTGCTCAAGGAAGGTGTGCATTTGAAAAGATGGTCAACATGGGGATCTTGCTTTGCTTTTAGAGAAAGGAGTCCAGACATTAAAAAGTATTTCTAGGTCTAGTAAAAGAAGACAAGAGCTTTTTTTTTTTTTTTTGGTAAGTTACAGTGTCAAAAAGCATAAGAAAGCGCCTTTAATCCCAGCACTCGGGAGGCAGAGCCAGGCGGATCGCTGTGAGTTCGAGGCCAGCCTGGGCTACCAAGTGAGCTCCAGGAAAGGCGCAAAACTATGCAGAGAAACCCTGTCTCAAAAAAA